CCCCAGCATGCTGGCTGGGGAATTCTGGGAGTTGAAGCCCACCCATCTTAGAGTTGCTAAGGTTGAGAAACCCTGCTCTGGATGCATGCACATAATTTCTAGGTGCTTATGGCTAAAATACACTGCAGAAATATTTTATTAACAGAGACATCCAGAGCTTTTCAGAGGTTTGCCCAATAAGATGAGTGCGATGTTATTATAACTAACCTTGTTACTGTTATTTTTCTGTAATTCAGATATATTTATGATATTCCCCTCAACTGTTCCTCTCAAAGAACCCTACCATGGAGTATCTGTTGCCTGCAACATTTTTTCCCAAACTCAATTAAGAGTGTGAATTGCCCCAACCCCACCTTCTTCACTAAGAAAGAAGTCATTCTTTTTTTTTTAAAAGTCTCAACTATTTAGCACCAATGTTGCTGCTTATGTTAGAATCTGATTCAGGAATCAGCAGTTGAAGGACGGGTCTAAATGTACTTAGACCCAGTCTTTATACATAGCGGAATAAAGTGGTGAAATAAACTGAAAATGAAAAAAATATCAGAAGCAAAAATTATCCCATCTAGCTGGCTCAGCCCACTCCCCCATTCCGTGCTAGATTTTGTCTTGTAGCTACGTATGAGAGTGTTTAATGCTCTGACGCCATACTATCTACGGTATATAATTCACACTACTTCATTCTGCTATGTGTACAAAGTACTCTGGGTTCAAAAGAGTCCCATGAAAATAATTTCATTATACTTAAGTCATCCTGTTTAGGTCTGTGTTTCCGCTGTCCCCTTGCCTGACTGGTTGTGAGCCCTTTAGAGCCTGGGATACGAATATCCTAGAACTTGTCACTAGCCCTCAGAATGGAGAAGAAAATATGTGGAGGTGCTTACAATCTTTACCCATAGCAGCTTTTCCAAAGAAGTTGTTCAGTGTATTTCCTTTTGCTAGGGGTTTGCTATTTGTTGTAGAAGCCTAGAAGTAATTGAAGGAAACAGTTAGGAAAGAGATGTCCTGGAAAACAAGCCCAATAAAACTACTTCTTGAGATTCCCAAATGTGTACAGTAATACCTTGGTTCACAAACACTTCTGTTCACGAACAATTCGGTTCGCGAACAGCACCGTTCGCAAAATTTTGCTTCTGTTTGCGAACTTCACATCGGATGACGAACACGACCCGCGGCCATCTTCCCTGCTCTGACATGTGGCCGTGGCTTCCTCTAGGCGAGATCGCGGTCGCAGACAGACACTTGGTGTGAAGCTTTTTGGTGTGCATCCAGTACATGTTCCCTCCAAGCAATAACCGCCTCCCCACCCGCCTTCCTGTCCTCCACGCCAGAAGTCGCCTCAAGCAAGGGTAGTG